TCATTTTTATTTATTTTTAATATTTTTTCAATTATAATTTTTTATTATATTTTTGGTCATTTCATTTTATGGATCACTTTTTTCACATATTTTCTCTATTTWTATGCGTGTTGGTGTACATATGCAAATATAAATTTCGTTATGTACACGTATGTATGTATGTGTATAGTAGTAGTAGTTTTGTTGTTGTATGCATTTTTATATATTTTTATATGTATAATATTTATATATATGTATGTATATTTATATGCAATAATGCAGACTAAATTCTATGGAAAATTAATAAAAACGAAAGTTAACATATTCGCACATACACAACTGCTTTCGTAACGCTGCAGCGTAAGTTGCAGCGTATGTATGTATGTGTGTGTGTGTGTGTGTGTGTCTAGATAACACTGCTGCACGCAGGCAAGTTCATCTTATAATTAAATACAAAATAATTAGAAAAGATACCATATTACATATATAAGTATGTATAATTAACATGACAACAATCGCAATATCGTAGTATTATTTTCAATCTTCATTTTCATTATTAATGTTTTTTATTAATGTTTTACATTCTCTTTCTTGGCTTACAATCACTTTCTTCATACTTCTACACTTTTATTTCCTTGCTCTCCTTCTTCTTCCAGCTTACCACAATAACATATATACTTAACAGTTTTCCCCGCCATATTAAATATGCGGCGAAAAAACAGAGCGTGCAATACAAAATCAAACATAACGGTAAATAAAGAATTCAATGTCAAGAATTTACAAATCAATAGAGTAGCGTCAACATGTTTTATATATAATATACATATGAATACATAGTAATTATAAATTAATGGAAATCAAATTAACATCACTATAAAGTTTTTTGTTTTTGTTATTTTTTTGTTTTGTTTTTTTTTTTTCTTTTTCTTCTTTACTCATTACGTATTACTCATTACATTAGATGCAGTACTTCGTAATCATTGTATGTGTATGTGTGTGTGTGTTTATTTGTAATCATTTATGTAAATAGTAGTAAGTATGGTATAAAAAATAAAAATATTATAATAAAGTACACAGTTAACAGTAAATAGTGTGGACACAAACCAACCGTCGTAACGCAACGTGGTAGCAGTGACGCAAACCGACGGGCAACGAGCAGCAAAGCAGTCGAATTGTAAGGTTACAACGCCGCAGCAAAAGTGAGAGCGAGAGAAAAGCGCGCGAATGAGATGAAATGGTAATGGAAGGAACGAGAGAAGAAGAGAAGTGCGCAACAACAACAAAAACCAACACTTACTGAGCAATGAATGCAATGTATGCAGCGCAGCAGGACAGCAGTTGCTTGGCGTCTAAAGGTATGCAACGCCAGCAGACACAGTTGCAATATGCATAAGGATTCAAAAAAATTTGTACTTTAATCGCTGTTTTTTTTTTTTTGTTTTTTACTTTCAAAACACTACGCGCAGCTAATTGCGTTTATTCTGTAATCAATGTTGTCTTAAGTGGGAGAGAACTTAATTTTGTGGGTAATTATTACGTTCCTCAGTAGGCGAGCTWGTTTAAGCTTTCGAGCAAAAAATTCGACTAACTTCTATTAGGTGAAAAAATCTACTAAACACATGCCTAAAATTACGACAGCTGGTTTGAGGAGCTTACATTGGTGAAAGCTTTCTTGAGCTGAAGTGAAAATTGACAAATATGCGAAATTTTTAAAAAGCAGAAATATTTGAAAAATTGATTTTTCAAAATTCAATTTTGAATMCAAGTTGGATTCCTGCGAAAGCGTAATTTTTTAGAAAGCTCCCTTTACTGTAGATCGAAGATGTTAGAAGTCACTGAAGGCTTGATTTGTCGAAGGCACGTTGATGCAAAATTAAATTTTTGCATGAAAGCTCGATTTGTTCAAAAGCTGCATTTTCTGTCGATAGAATTTTTTGTTATTAAACTAATTTGAAAAGTTAAAACTCACTAAAAGCTTTATTTATCGAAGGCACAATTCGACAAAATTAATTTTTAAATGAGTTTTTTTTTTGGAAGCTCCATTTTTTTGTGGATCGAAGATATTAGAATCCAGCAAAAGATTAATTTGTCGAAGGCACTTTTCTACAAAATTCTATTTCTGAATGAAAGCTCGCTTTTTATGAAAGCTTAATTTTTCGAAAGCTCACTGTTTTCAAAACTGACTCTTTTTCTACAAAATTTCTAGCGAACAAATCTTTCTGCAAAATTTCCACAAATTGAGAAGAAAGAACTTACTTCCGAATTAATTTAATTTTTTCAAAAAAAAAAAAAAAAAAAAAAAGTGGATAATTTGGTGTCTTTGACAGTTGCCTAACCCATGCACGTTTGGCATCTATTTTGACTCCCATCAGCTGCTGTAGACAGCAGTGGTAGGCTCATACGGATAATAGTGCACAAATTGCTGTTGCTGCTGTKKTTGTTGTGGCAACAATTGCTGCTGCGGCGCGAAATAGACAGCAAATTGCGGTTGTTGTTGTATTTGCTGCCGTTGATATGGTTGCAAAAGCAATTGCTGCTGATGTTGTTGTTGTTGTTCCAACAACGGCAACTGCATTTGCAATGAGAATGGTTGTTGTTGTTGTGGTGGTGTTAGTGATGTTGTTGGTAGTACAGACAATGCGGTTGTTGGCATTTGTTGCACATAGTAAGTGGATGATGGGTGGTGCGTTGTTAACATCTGTTGCTGCAACAATTGGGCTTGTTGTTGTTGTTGTTGCAAAATTTTTGTTTGTTGTTGCTGCAGCAACTGTGTTTGCTGTTGTTGCAAATATTGCATTTGCTGTTGTTGCAGCAGCTGTGCTTGTTGTTCTTGTTGTTGCTGCTGCTGCTGGTGTCGCAACAGGCATTGCGCATCGTAGCAAGGAATTGCCAGCAAATTATTAGCCGTCGGCGCAGCAACCGTGGTTGCTCTTGGTGGTGGTGCTGGGGTTGCCGGCGGGACATAAGTTGCAAGTTCTGTTGTTGTTGCATTGCCATTAAATGCATATGTCGGCACAACGGTGCAAGTGTTGCTGTTGTTGCAATTGCAATTACAGCTTGTTTGTAGGTGGCTTACGTCCGCTGCTGCTGCTGTTGCTGCTGCCACATCATTTTGCTGCTGATCAAAAGCTGTGGCTGCTGACCCTTGTTGTTGTTGTTGCTGTGCCCCCATCATTGCGGCCTCTGTTGCTGTTGTATTTCTTGTTATTGTTGTTGTTGCTGCTCCTGTTGTTGCGCTTGTTGTCGCTGTTAATGCTGTGGTTGATGCTGCTGCTGCTGTTGGTGTTGTTGTTGTTGCGTCTGTTTGCCCCGTCGCCGGCTCGTTCGTCAATCACGTGCTCAACCACGTCTGGTTGCATGTGCAAATAGCCGGAATCACAGGTGCATAGTAGACGCCGTTATAGACGAGAATGGTGGTCGTCGGCTGGGCCACCGCGGCGTGCGTCTGTATCGCCTGTACTTGTGGCTGTTGCTGTACTTGCACTTGTTGTTGCTGCTGCTCACCGGTGGCTGTCGTACAGCAGATGGTCGCTGTTGTTGTTTGTGGGGACGCTGTCGGCGCCGCCTGCAAGTAGATTGTCTGTGTTTGCGGCGCCTGCAATTGTTGTGGTTGTTGTTGGTGCGGTGCWGTGACCAGCGTTACTTGTTGATGTGACTGCTGTTGTTGTTGCTGTTGCTGCTGTTGTGCTTGTGTTGTTTGCACATCGACTGGCTGCTGCTGTTGTTGCTGTTGTGGATGATGATGGTGATGTAGGTGATGTTGCTGTTGTTGCTGYTGTTGTTGATATTGCTCCTGCGCCTGTTGCTGCTTCTTTTGCTCCTTGTAGAGCACATTCGTGGCCAAATTCTGTATGAGCAACATGGTCTGCCGCCGCTCGTGCCCCATCAGGCACACCGTTGACATTTCGACGACTTCGCGTAAATGCATCAGGTACTGATATTGTAGGGGCTCCTCGTCAACGCCCCAGAAATGATTGGACAAGTACGCCTCCAGCTTCTTGGTCTGCGTATTGATGTCGGGGAAATCGATGAAGAATCGTGAGCACATATAACGTTCTAAGGTCTTGATATGTTGCGGATCGACTGGCTTATAATTGCGCACCAAGAGATTGCAATACTTGAGCAAACCGCCRCCGCGTATCTCTTCCGGCTGTCGTGTTGAGATCAATTTCTTTTGCAAATGATAGAGCGCCTCCTGAAAGTCGCCATATACCGACTCACCGACCACGGTCGGATAGAAATTCTCCGATATGGGTAAAGCGGCACAGTCGTAGAAGAGTAGCAACGAGTCCAAAACGATTTGAAATGAGTCCACTGAGAATTCAAACTGACGTCGCATTGTGTCTACAAATTTCAATTCGACATTCTTGTGACCTGGCGAATTGCCGAGCGATATTAGTGACCAACGATCACCGTCATTATTATTATTCACTTTGACCATCTTGCCGACRTAAGCCTCCTTCAAAGCGCAAGGCATAATGCGCCGTTTGCACACACCCTCCGGCAAGAGGTCCAACAATGTATTGAGCACGGCCGATTTGACGCGATCAAAGTGACGTGTCGATGTCAATTCAATGGCATAGATCAAGTCCAAGTCATTGTATGGCTGATCCTCGGAAGCTAAAACATGACTAGCTGCGCCACCATTCAAGCGCACATCCTTGACTATCACACCGGCACCGCCCACACTAACATCCGCCTCTAATTTGCGTCGTACCATATTGACCAAGTCTTTAAGCGGTACCTCGAGTGTGGGGAAATTACCACGTCCATGTATGGCCACTTTTTCGTCCATGACATCGTGCAATTTGCGCACCTGTTCGAATGAGAGTACGGCCAAACGTTGTGTACCGCCCGTGTCGACACTCTCCAATGAGCCATGATCCGAAGCCGAGGCTATCGATGAACCCGAACTGGGTGAGGGTGGTGGCGTCTCAGTACCACCGTCCGAGTGGAAACCGTCGTCAATTTGATAGACATCCATTCTGTTCGAACGCTGTTGATAGTGATATGACGATTCAGARTGTGCGTCTAGGGTCCCGCACTGCAAGTATAAAGATSAATAGAGATATTTTGTTAAAACAGYTTTGGAATTAACGGGATTTGGGGCATRATAAAGATGATGGTAGACTTTAAATTATCTTGCAATGAGCAATACAATTTACTMGTTTTTTGTATATTCTAGTAAATTGACCCAATTATTTTTTGATATTCCCTTACATTTGATATCCCTATATATCACAAAAGTTCTTATTTGGAAATACAAGTTCGTGAAATTCTACAGTAAATTTTCAGTTTAGTAAAATACAATTGTTTTTGTATGAAACTGGAACACAGCCGTTGCTGTTTCGTATTTAATAACACTTCTGTGACCTCATTATCAGACAATTATTTCGACATTGAGTTGTTTTACCGGCAAGCCGTTACAATTGCTACTATTACAGTTTAACACTCTTTATTTCATAATAATAAATAATTGTGTAATTTGAGGTTAAGTTATACAAASAAAAMRAAAAAAAAYATAAAAATAAAAATAAAAAAATTTCGAGAGTATGAACATGATAATGATAATTTGTCAAAATTTGTAGTCTGCAGTTGTTTAATGGCACTTTTTTGACACGTAGTACTGCATGCAACTTTCAAGAATCAAGTTTAGACTTTGTTCAAATTATTTTGATGATTKCGACCCTTAAGTAACTCGGGAACGTCTCCACAGAATTTTCTAATTTTTTTCTTGACACGTTATTCATTATATTTGTAAATATAAAAACAAGTGAACATGACGTTGCCATATGTTTTGTATTTAATAATAAATGTTTAATTAAAGTTTTCGCTAATATCTTCAGTTGAGTGATTTAGTATGTAGTTAAATTTAGACAAAGTTGTAGCTGTAGGCTCGATATAATCAGATATATGTACATACAATTAATCAAATGTATATAAGTCTAAGTGAAATTTTGGTTTTATTTTCATATATATTATATATTTATATGACCTCATTTCACCGAAAAATGTTTAAAAWGTCTTCTGACASATACAAGCCAGCGAAAAATTAGTCCTCAAGGCTCARAAAGCGTTTGAAAGAGTAGATTTGATACCTTGAAAACAGCGAAGGTAAGAAATTTTAAAATTAAACATTTTTTTTTTAATATTTATAATAATATTTTTTAAATGTTTAGACTAATTTTTTGGAATAAATTGATGACAATTTTCGTCGTGCCGCTTTAGTGTAATTATTTACAAATTGTCTTATTATTTTCAAGTTGACACACCACAAATTACTGCACTCAACCTGAACTTTGAATAAAGTTCTTTCGCCTCCGATTAAAACATAAATTAGCGTTTCAGTCAGTCAGTGGCGGCTTTTGTGTCATTCGTAATAAGTACGAGTACGAGTGATTCAACACTTACATAATTCGAATTTGTGCTCATTTGTGCTTATTTCGTGGAGCGCAAAGGTCAATGACAATATTAGGGAAACCAAAAACAACAACTACAAAAACACACTCAAAAAATGTAAAAATAAATAACAGCGAGATAATACAATAATAGCCACAGAGTCAAATGGGCTGGCATAGTAACGGCAACAGTTGACGACTCGTCGCCYATACAAATTATCTTGTGATTTTTGTTTATGGTAAAAAGCCGAACAAATGATCGAACGAACGACCGACTAACCGACTGACTTACGAGCGTATAAAGAATTCATATTTGAATTATAGACTGACTGTACATGTTACACAAATTATATGTATGTATATTGAAGACATATGTATGTGGGGTGTGAGTCTATATACTGTATATATACTATATATTGGAACTAAATATGTTTATCTGCACTCAATAGTATTTGATATTTGCTGTTTGTGTTTAAAAATAAACAAATTCCTGTTTTGCGCTTCGTGGCACGTGTTTATCGCGTTACTTTGCTATGCTGGAAATGAAATTTTTTTTTCTTGCAGAAGGCGCTAGAAATGCTCATTAGTGGCTTAAATAAGCGAAAAAGGTTAAACAAATGATTGTAAAGTAAACTATTAAGTATTATATATAAAAGTTGTATTATGTATATATACACTATTTTATTTGTATATACACTTTTCCATATATATAAAAGCGCATAAGTTTAAATTATGCAGTTTTGGTGGTKTTTTTCTAACAAGTGTAGGCAGAAGACTTAAAAAATTAGTGACCTCACTTTTTGCAGCTCTAAAAAGTTCTTGATGAAAAATTCTATATGAAAAGTATTTTCACCTTCTCGGTACTAGTTTTTTGCAACAGTCAATTACTATATTCGAGACTCGAAACAAAAACGGAAGATGTACATATATTTGAAAAAATGTYATTTTATGCTAACGCTTCCATTATCTTGCACAGCACTGTATAAATTTACTTATACATCGTATATATGTACAATATATTTGTAAATCTAGACAGAGGACTTAAAAAAGGAGTAACTTAGCTTTTYGCAGTTCTAAAAAATTATTAAAAATTCTATATGAGACAACTTTCTTGACAAAATTTTTCAACGTAATTTATTAAATATTGAATTTTCAAAATTTTTTCAAATTAAATTGAACTTAGTACCTTTTAACCGGTACGCTGCACTTGCGAACACACAGTCACACAAATATTGAGCATAAGTGCATTTAGTTTAGCTTTGAGGAGCGTTTTGAAGTATTTTTATTCATATGTATGTGGCCTAACAATTCCTTAAATATGTGAATATATGTACATACATATGTATGTACATAGATACAAAATATATATATATTTATTTACAATTAGAAATAAATGTATGTACACATGCGTACATATTTACATTTTTTTATAAAATTTGTTTCAGCGCAAATAATTGCCTCGTTATCACATTCTTTGTCAGAACTATTAATTAATGATGTGTATCTACATACATACATATTATATAAGTACAACAATATTGACATACAGGAACATATACAATAYATGTATGTATGTATCTCTTTATTCGTGTCTACGTGTTTTCAAGTTCTTGTAAACAACTTAGAGCAATTTATTACATGATTACATAGATAAATATATCACCTAACACAGCTCATATAAATATATACATACATAAATGTAAATGTACATATGTTATGTRCATAAAATAATAATTATGTCGAAAACGAGCATCAAACATCCGCACAATCTGTTTTTATTTAATTTCCAAGAAATTCAATTSAACATTATGATTTCAACAAGCTATTATTGTACATACACACATGATTACAAACATGCATAAGGTACAAAAGTACATAAAAACATATGTATATATAATATTATATATACACATATACAAGTATAAGTGTTTACAATGTTCAAATAAAACCAGCGCCAACATATATAATAATGACTATTTAAAAATGTACAGCACTGTGCAATGACATAGTATCGTTTTGCAAATGCTTTAGTTTACTCAACCGAAACGTATTAAAGG